ACGTTCCTGCAACGGGGCAGAAAATGAGTGTCATCAGCATCAACACCAGCTGAAGAATTCGGGATCCTCTGGCTTTGATGCTGCCTCTATGAAAATCGGGGGGGGGCCTGCAGAGTTGCAGCAGGTAGCCTGTGCCCACTCACCTCTTCAGTAACACAGAGCTGGCCTTTGGGAGACCTCCGGACTCCGACACACAACCTCCACATTGCAAATGGGAGTGGCTAAAACTTTTATATTCAGCCTCCCATGGGTATCTGCCAAGTACTGTTCTTTGGGCTGGAGGGTTTCTGGATTTGGACTTGACCTCACATATACTCACAGATACATGTCCCTTCTCCCCTACAGAGGCAATAATGCAGACACTTTCCATGAAAAAGCACCTTGAGGTGGGACTACATCCCTCATGTTTATTTCCAGTGCTATGAGGCTTTCCAGGGAATGACACATACTGATGGCACACCTAACGGCTAACTAATATTGCTTGTGTACAGCAGTGGCAGAAGTTCTCATAACCTTTCTCTCCTGAAAGGATGGCCTCACTAACCCGGGTACCAAGATCCCTTGAATTACTGGGAGGTGCAGGCACACGTTTGACACAGCACAGCCTGCCAAGGCTGGTGGATGTGTGTGCACATGCTTTTGCAAGTACACACCTAAAAGCTTTTATATGCATTCCTTCCCACCCTTGCAAAGCCACTTAAATTTCTGTGACACTCAGTGGTTATCTCACACGTACCTACTGTAGTGAAATGTTAAGCCACGGCTTTGCTTCATAAACACAGGTCTGCTTTTGTTTGTGCATTAGCCGAGGAATGCTTGTCAGGGTAAACTCTTCAGTTTTTTGGGATTCTGTCACAGCAACTTGGGCATTTACTTTGCATCAAATGCTGCTGCCTTCTGTCAGCACTCTCTACCCATTCAGGATTTGAAGGAAGTTCCCTACAGGATGCTAACATTGGATACGACTCACCTGATCTGGGTGATATTCTTGCCTACTGTGTAGGAAAAAGTGGTTTCTCATTTTGAGGCGAAGAAAGGAAAACGCCCCAAGCCCCAACAAGCTTCCTAAGCAACTCTGCGTACTAACCTAACTCAGCTCTCCTTTGAGTTCACAGGTTTGTTCTTCCCTTTTTCTCTGTCCCATTGCAAGCTGTACCCATTCCCTTACTGCTCTATTCACATGCGCAGTTAGCAGGGCAAACCAAAGTCTGATAGCATCATGTTGTCCTCTTTGTGGCAAGTTTTGTTCTTCAGCTGCTTTTTGTTCTTCAGCTGCTTACCTTGCTAGGACACAGCAAAGGAATTGTCCATCGCTTTTTCTTTTCTAATAGGTACATAGTGAGAGAGAAATTGCTGGAGGAAATAGGAGGCCTAAAAGCAGTTTATAAAGGATTGAGCTACAACAGCCTAAGGGATCAAGTCACAAGTGAAGAATAAGACACTGCTCCCATTCTCCTCCTGCAGAGTCATGCTGCCCCATCAACTTTTTTACTGTTTTCCCATTGTATGAAGTGAAATGAGAACTTCAGAATATTCTTACAGAGGGTTTTTGACAGGGAGAAGAGGATAAGGTGGGTGATGAGGAAACTATACTCTTTGGACTTGTGCATTCTCATTGCAAGCAGAACACAGGTGACATAGAAAGCACTGTTTCTTTCAAAAGGCTGCCTGACCTTACTGCAGGACATGGTGTAGGGGCAATGGTGTCTCACACTTCTCAAATTTCCTTTCAGGCTATACTTCTGGTTTCCAAGCACAAACTACTAGCTTCTTGCAGGCTAAACACCCTTTCTTTTTTGTATTTACTTTGCTTGTTTTCAACACTGTGCTTCTTTTCCTGCTGTAACCACTTGCATTTACACCTTACCAACCACACCACAGCTCCAGCAATTGTACCACCAGCAATGTTTTCCCTCTGACTGTCCCATACTCTGCCTGATGATTGTACAGCCTCCTGGAGAAGGGTTTGTCTTTTGCACTGTGCCAAAACTTTCTACATCACCACAGACTTCTGTGACACTTTAAGTAACTCCTTAAGGAATATTTCACTGACAAATAAGTTTAGCATCAGTTTGGTTTTATATTCTTGATGGTCAGTTTATGTGGTTTATTTTTTCCTTAAGCACTTATACTATGAATGATGTTTTCTATTGCCTTATGCTGTATTCAGTGAATTGCACACAAATGGTTTCTGTGAGACCTTTTCAGCTTCACATCTGGGTCTTTGTATCAGGTGGACTGCTGTTACCACAGGGTATTTTGTATATAATGTTTCTTCATGGAGTTCCTCCTTCAATTGTATTCAAAAGAGAAATGATAAACTGATTTTCCTTTCCTTGGTAATAAGACGTCTGTTCTACGTGCTGGGAAGTGTTAAGAGCCTTTCAATTACTCGCATGAGTCCCAGTCACCATTTGGCAGCTGCTGAAGACACACATGGTGCAGCATCAAGGTAGGTGATGCTGCTGGTTGACAAAGCTGTAACAGGTACAGCTGGCACCAAGACACAGCTCTGTTTGGTGTGCTCAGCAGCAGTGACAAAGCAGCACTCAGGTTCCCAGTGTGTAACTAACTTCCACACACACCTCATGTCTGTTGATTTGTCAGGGATTAACCGAGCAGCATAGCTCTGGTGCTCGATACTCAGCTTACAACAGGTCTTCCATCTCCCTCCTCAAAAAAGGAGGTTTGCTGCAAAAGCAAAATCCAGTGTAAGATGTTCTTGCTATTTGTGTCACCGACTCGGAAAGCGGAGGACCAGCAACTTTTAGTGCCATGCAGGGGAGGAAGTGGGGCGTGAAGAATTCCTTGCACACAGATTTAAAAAATAAACTCTGACCCAACTTTTCACTCCCTGTTTGGGCAGCGACTTTGAATACAAGAAATAAAGAAGTGCAGGGAACTAAATTCAGCAGGAAAAAAGGAAACAAATTTAAAAACGGCTTCTAATCTTGAGTGTAGATGGAAGTCTCTGCTTCTCCTTGTTAACGTGTAGCATGAGGACATCCAGCAGCCCTTCCTTCCTTCCTCCCTTCCATGGTGAGAAAATCCATGCAATTGCTACACCTTGGCTTTGCCTACCCTCCCATGGAAGAACGTCCCTGCATCAATGGTTGGACACAAGAAAATTAGCATTTTTTTAGACATCACAGCAACTACCATTAAACAGGAATAGAGAAAGACTGAGCAATGATAGAGCTCAATGTCATCAGAACTGCTGTACAGATAAGAGTGTGGGATATTGGGTGGAGAAAAGAAAAAGAGAAAAGGAGAAGATAAAACATCGCTGTGTAACCATGATAGCAAAAATGCAACTCAGAAAAGCTATTTTGTTCTTTGAGGGGGCAGAGGACAGTAACACTGTCAGAGTTGCATGCAGAGCTTAAAACAGAAAGGGGGAGAGACATATCCATAGCCCTGCTTATTCAGGTCCTTCACTTACAAATAGAAAGTCAAAGCTGGTGGTTGCCAACTCCAAAATGTGTGTATTTCTTCAACAGAAAAATGAACTACACTGAGGTGTTCAACAAATAACATGCTCATTTTGGAAGTCAGAAAACACAAGAGCTCCTTGGAAGCAAGTTGTGCCGAAATCTGCCTTGGGTGGGTGGAATACGCTCTGTGAGACTGACTGTTCATATTCCAATCAACAGTAATCAGCTGTAACATAGAAAAAGCACTCAACCAAACAGACTGACTACTCTTTTCTTGTGGGAAGGAGACCTGAACCCCCTGCCTGAATGTAAATCCCTGTCATGGCAGAAAAAGTCTCCAAAGACAAGACCAGAGCTCTGGCCTTCTGGTTCAAGGGAAAGGGTGATGGGCCACCTGACACTTTTGGGTACAGACAATTTATTACATTAATTTCAACCCTACCCAGAAGTAACAGTTATGACTTAACATTGATCTCTGGCACAAAATAATGAACAGGGCTGGCACTCTTCTAGTTCTTGTCTTTGTTACTGCCTGGACAGAGGAATGTCTGACACCACTAGCAGACTTCATTGCTTGAAGGTGGGATCTTAGATGGAGCTCTTCTCATGGCATATCACTCGAGTACATTTCTCTAATGCCAATACTGTACTAACATGAAGTACATGTTGTACTAACATAAAGATCATCCAGACACAATCACCACTGCTAGATGGCTTTATTGAGTGTCTTGAACCACATTTTCCCCAAAGGCAATCCCCTAATTTCCAACTTTTACATAAAATTAGAGGCCTTTTTGTTGCTCTTAAAACTATCCACAGTACCAATTCCTCCACCATCACCATCACGAAACATGACATCTTTTCCGTGGCCCCCTCAGCCACACTTCTATTGAAGAAACCAAACCGTATCTTTTTCAGGGTATTTCCATATCATTCCCAGCTCTTCCAGCCTTTCTCACTATTGATTCCAAAAACCCACAGGTACTATAGGAATCAAACATGGTTTTCTGAAAAAAAACTGAAGAAACCACTGTTGGCAAAACAGCACCAGTCCCAGCCTGTGCAGTCCAAGCTGTGGGAGGGGGACGGCGAGAGAAGAACCGCTCACTCTGGCACTGCGCTTCCACAGTAAGTTCTTCAGGCCCTGTCTGAAGAGCAGCTGTCACCAGAGCATAATGAGCTTTCAGAGTCAGGGTACCTTGAGCATCCAAACTATTCATCCTTTACCTTGAATCTTTCTACATTGCTGGTGGTTTGGACATTTTCAGCGGTGAAACGGGTTCTAGACGAGGCTCTGGGGCTGCCCTCACGCCCTGCCAAATAAATGGACATTTCCTAGTCTGCAGAGTCTGCATGTTCACCTTCTCAAGTGGAAAAGGTTTGGCCCTTCCAAGCTCTCGTACAGTGATATGCATCCATGAACAATGTTTTGGACAAAACGCTTTCTCATAAGTGCATAGGATATAACAGCCTACACAGAAGGCTCCCATGACCCCTTGACTGAAGACTTTTATGAGCACAATCAAAATACTTTGTGGCTGCTTACAACAGAGGTCCAGGGAAGACTCAGTAGCTCCTAGATTCTCTTGCTCTCTCCATTTCTGGTCTTCCCTGGGCATCGCTTTCCATTTGTCCTAAGTCTTCGGTCACGCTGAGCCTAGAATGCCTAGTGAGAGAAGAGAGGATGAAAGCAACTTTATGCCTGAATCTTCCTGACAAAGGCATTGCTGCAGAATCTCAGCCCTTGAAAAGCTTCTTCTAGAACTGGTGCTACTTGTGAGTTTTAGTAAGTCATGCAACCAGTGTCACAGCCTTTTCTTGCCAAAGCCTCCAGCTGTCCTTCTTCCTTTCTCTCTTTAACAGGGATGGGAAGAAGGCAGCAATGAAGGAAAAGGCAGAGTTCCAACCTCTCTCAGCTTTGGTAAGGAAATATTAATATGCTTGTCCTCAGCCACTGCAGAAGTGAAAAACCGATGCAGAGTTACTGGGCTGGGGAAGGGCATGAATGCTGAACAAAACACCTTGTTACAAAATATGTAGCAACATTTAAGGCTGGGAAGACTAAATCAGCAGTTATCCGACTGCTGTGTGAAACACACCGAAAACCAAGGAACCACATTTTAGAAAACCTAGCATGCCATAGTTTCTTTAAATGTTTGACCACACAGATCTAAACACATTTCTAGTCAAAGACTCAGAGAGGCAGAGCTGTCCCTTACCATTCTGCTAACTTCTGTTCATACAGCTCCCTGCGCTCACGACTTCTCTTCTCCTGCAAGGTCTCACCAGCAAACTTCTGCAAGACCATTAAGAGGCCTCCTGCAGGGATCCTAGAGGAGAGAAGCAGAAAAGTCGCAAGTCAGCTGAGGGAAACACAACGGTAATAACTTACTGGCATTGGCAAAAGGAGCATGCAGGGGCCAGCCATGAGATCAGTGGAGCGTAGTGTTCCCCAACGCTCACATCACACCACAGACTGAGGTACTGCTATTGCCAGCCACCAAACACGGCCTGTCTTCAGCTCTGACTCTGTGAGGCCCTTCAATAACACGTTCTGAATTCACTCACTGACAGGCACCCACAGGGCAAAGGGGTGGAAGGATTTAAGGTTCCCAAACAACCCCTGTAGGTCACCTAACTCATAATTTAGACAGTCACTCCCCGGCTTAGTTTCTGCCCAGCTCTGAAGGTACCTGTATTTTCACCAGTAAAGCTCCCTTGACTGCTTCCAGGCACGCCCACAGGTGACACCATCCTGATGGTGCCACATAGGACATAGAAAATCTCATTTTCTTGCCCTTGTAGGATCCAGATTCACTTATGAGAACATTCACAAGTCAGTACTTTGAGAAGAAATCCCAGTTCTGCTTGAAAAGTTAAGACTTCTCCTGCATTAAGAGGTCATTGGCCTGATGGGCAGAGACCTCAAGAGAGAGAACCATACATTCCTTCATGCCCCACGGAGCTTTAGGAGCTACACGACTGCAAGAGGTACTCAAAAGAGAAGTGCCACTCTACAACCTTAGGTTGTGCAGTCCAGCCATGCCACCTCTTCCTCAGTATTTCCTAATGGCTGTTGCTCTACATTTTGGCATTGAGGGGGCTATTTTGTAAAAAAATTAAAGCCCAACAGTTCTGTGCACAACCACTGGTTTCATCAGTGACCGTGCCAAGGAAGGGGGACAGAAGACATGTCTGTAACCCGTTCTTATAACCTCCCATTTAACAGTAGTTAGTGCCTCCTCTAACATGCAAACAGCAGCAAGTAAGATGCTCTGCTGAGATCAGTGAGGAGCAGCAAAACACAAATCAAGAAGAAGAAGAAGGAAAAAAAATACCAGTTTAGAGGTTGGAAGAAAAGTCATCATCATGAGGTCCCAAGAGAGATAGAGAAAATCCCTCGAAACAAGAGAGGAAGGAAGCTTCTGGAGCCCCACCTACGATTCAAGGCTTGGTGTGTGTGGCCGCCTTCTAAGTCACCCTTAAGGAATAGCTGTGTCTCCATCACTCATTGGTGGCAGTCACAACTCACCCAAAAGCTGTTCCGAACACGATGCCGCCTGCCAGTCCCGGCAGGCCCAAGTGCATTCTGAAAAGGGCTCCTGTGAAGGCTAAAAAAAAAACACAAACCCACTGAAACCACAGACAGACCCCTACTAGCCATCACATACAGATGGAGGGAGCTGCTTTGCTGCATCTCTCCCCTCTGTGAGTTGGCATCTGCTTTTAACAGAGCAGAAACCAAGCGCCGTGGCCAGCGGGAGGGACCCTCACCATCCAGTCACCACGGTCTGAAACACCATACAAAGCTCCTTTGGCTTCAGAAAAACTCCCCCAAAAATGCTAAGAAGCAAAAGTATCTAATAAAACAAAACCAAGCTTTCTCCAGGCTGGAGCATAATCCCTTCCCTTCCCCCTCCTTTTTTTTTCCTGTTCAACAACAGCTAATAATAGTAGCTGCCATATAAGGCAGAAAAGATCAGTAAAATGCACATCCAGCTGTAAGGGCAATAAAGCCTGTGAAACAAGCAGATCCCTTGCCCAGAGCCCTGCTGCCAAAAGCAGACATGCAAAAAACTTAGCATGAAAAGGGCAGTTTTATAAACAGCACGCTGAACTGTTATAAAGAGCAGAAATAAAAAATGCTTTCCCTGGTAAACAGGTGGTTATAAGAGCAGGTTATGCACCAAGTGTTGCCTTTACCATACGGAAGCATTTTTCACCCAAAAAACTCCCGCTCAAATCCATGGATTTCTTCTCACACTTTTCACTTATGACCTTTGCTCTTAAAGCAAAAAAGCACACAAGGTTATAACAGTCTTACCTCCCGCCGAAGCAAAATTACTGATGGTGGTTTTATTGCGGTACATGGACAGACCAGTGCTCACCGTGCTGCAAAGATAAGGCACAGAAGAAGTCAGCAGTCGCACGTGGAAAAAGACAGGTAGCAAAACGCGGCCTGAAATAAAGCTGGATTTCACCAAGGCAACCCTCAGGTTACCTCTAACTGCCTCGTTGCCCATCTGCCCAGAGCACACATGCACCTGCCACAAGTGCCTTGATCTCTGTGACCTTACTGCAGGCAGCTGCACAGCCAGAGGGCAGGCACTACCAAAACTCCTGGCTGGATCTGGGACACTGTCAGTGCTGACACAGGACCTTTACCCCCAGAAGCTGAATCCGTGTGTCGGCAAGACCTTGCCTGACAGAGAGTCCCCACTGCGAGAGCGAAGTCACACTCACAACGCCAGCAGGGTCACCTCCTCTCGTGGCACGAGATTCCCCGCCAGGGTGGGTACACCATCTCCTCCGAAAACACCACCCAAGCCCCAAAACCCTCTCTGTTCTCAGTTCAGCAGCCACATCCTTCCCAGCACACCTCCCGCAAGTCAACAGCAACGTTCCTCTCCCTCTCAACACTTTAACGGTACCCTAGCCTTTGCACAAGGTAAACCTAAGTAATTTTATACCACGAAACTCAAAATTTGCACAGCTGCAGGACAAAATCTTCAACTTGGACATCACAGAAACAACAGTGGCAGATAACCTTCGAAAAGCTTTTACAAAGGGGTAGTGAAAAGATGCAATGGTGTGGCTGCAGGGGGGACACCTGGTGGAAGACGACGAGGTTACATGTCAAGGACAGGAAAAGCTAAAGAAATCCAAAGCTCCGTGAGAGAAAGCAAATGGTACATTAACTAAACCTAAGAACAGGTACCAAAACAAAAAGAAACAAAGAAACCACGAAAGAATGAGGAGGACATTCAGAAAGGAACCAAAAACATTAGACAGATGGAAATAATGGAAATAAAAATCAGCACTAGTCAATACCACTGGTATCTTAAAAAGCAGAAAGGGAATTTCAACACAACACACTTGCAGGTATAGTCAATGCACGTTGAGGGCTACACATAAATTTAACATTCTGAACATCAGGGAAGGAGATATTCCTAGTTCAAAATGGTTTTACTCGGAAGAGTGTACTTAGTTTGATGCTATATTGTCAGAAATGTACTGAAACAGCTGACAGAGAAAATCAGGGAAGCAGAACATGATCTCTGCGTAGGCTGTGTGTGGAGGGAAAATGTGAAGGCCTAAAGAGGTACATACACAACTGCTTAGTAACAAAACAATAATTTGCAAGCATTTGAGGACAAGAACAAAGAATTGTGAGTAATGCTGGTGTATATAAACTAGGAGTAATGACACGTAAGAAAAAAGGAGACAAATCAGCGTGGGTAGAAAGCTCTTCCAGAAACAGCTGACACAATTTAAGACTCTCCCAGAGAAAGAAAAAAAAAAAAGAAAAAAAAGATGAAACAAAAGCAGAGAGAAGTCACCAAGCACAGTCAAGAACAGTATTCAAGTCAGTTACAGCATGGATTAGATGTAAGGAACAGGGCTCTTCCAGTTTTAGTTTTTGTGTTGGTTCATTATAAGATTTGAAAACCAGGGTAACTATAAAAGTTTAAATCCTCTTTATGTTCTCACCTCACCAATCAGACTCACTGTTAACGAAATGCTTCGAACTCCAATCAATCACCAGTAGCCTCTCAAGGAGCCGTGAGCACCGCCAACACACAGGGCTCCTCGCTGCTAGCGCTTAAGCACAAGCCAGCCTCCCTCCTATTACCATGGGGAAACACTTACTTGAATATTGTCACAAAAACAGCGACTCTCCAGCTCCAGCGCCAGCCGTAGCGGATGAAACCCCTGAGGCCAGCCCGATGTGCAGATTGCTGGGGGAGGGGGAAGAGAGAAGAAGACAGGTTACAGGTCACAGCCCCTCTCCAGCAGCCTGCTGGGATTTGGGGCATTTGCAACAGGCCGGGGATGAAGTCGGCTGTCTTCAGACGGAAAGCCATGCAAGTTTACCCTGGCAGCCAACAGAAACACCAAGATTTAATTCTGTGTTGTAACGTCAACTGGTTTTTCTAATCCCAGTGCTGAAACACATCTCAGGGACGAGGGGAGCTTTCTGAGGATGGTATGACAGAGCAGCAGAGAAGAAAGGGGGAACAAACTAGAAATTAGTTCTCAATTAGTACGAGTTCCTAAGTAATAATAATGGCCATCAATAAACAACCACCATAATAAGTAAATAATAACTACCTACCCTAAATGTGAAGAGGCAACCAAGCTCTGCAGTTTAGCACTGGTGCCTAAAAGTTTGTCAATAAGCAACTTTTAGAAAGATGCTGCAAAAGAATTAAAATTATTCCAATCAATACAATGAAAACTAATTTTTCTCTTCCAGTGCCTGTAGTGTAAACACTCAGCACGGGTGCAGAGTCAACAGAAGGGCAGAGTGAAGCTGGGCACTCCTGCTTCGTAGATCACTAAATCGGGGCGAGATCTAAACAGTAGATGACGTTAAGTTAGACAGACTTTTAAAGGCTTATTTTTTCCCCCTAATAATCCAGGTAACCAACATTTTAATTGAAGAACAAATTCATAAAAAATAAAATGTCACAAACGTTCTTTGCTGTGAGGTGCAGTGATAAGCGAAAAGAATTCTAAACGATCTTAAAACAACTCGTAGGAGTTACGCAACACCCGTCTGACGCTAGGAAGCGAAGCCTCTTGCCAGCACACTCAAATTTAAAAGCCGAAAGGCTTTTCCAGGCGGATTGACTAATTAGCCCTCCTATACCCGGAGCCGCGCTTCGCCCGCCCGGCCAGAAGGCGGCCCCCTGCGCTCTCCTT